TTTAAATTCAAATATATCAGGTTTCTTAAAATTTACACTTTAGTTGAAGTTGATTTAACAGGTTTATTACTAAGCTTGACAATAAGTGATCTAGGACTGCATCTCAGAAGTGCAAAACAATGCGTAATCACTAATACATTACTGTTACCTCATGATTGTGTAGTAATGCTCAAAGTGCCTATTCTTTTCTCTTTTTTTTCCTCCCTAATTTCCTTTCTGCCCTCTCTAACTACAACTGGTTATTTACACAACTATTATATTTAGTCACATTTACCATAAATTTTGTTGTAACACCTGTGATTTCCTTCATTAAGAGCTCAATAGATAAGGTTGCAGGTTGAAAGGACAGCATATGGGCCACGAAAGGGCTTGTTAACATAACCCATTATACTGCTGCACTGGTAAATCTTATTTCTATTAATCTAATGATTAGTTCAATCAATATTTACTCCTGTGCACGTCTTTTGTCTTCAGCTACAAAGCATACATTGTTCAATTTCATAGCACAGACCTTGATTTCTGTGAATTCATTGCATTGCTTGGCAGGAATGGTTTCTTGAGTAGCTTGGGAATCTTTCACTCCTTTGATTTTTTTTTTTTTTCCCTGTATCAGGTAACCAGTGTCCATACTACGGCAGATCCTAGTTCCTGGAATTGTTTAATAACACACAGTACTGTTGAAGGCATACTTCATAGGCACATGTATAGCAGTACCCAGGACAGTACCCTAAAGACTTTTCACTAGTTGCACAAGAGCATTTTAAACAGGAATTCTGACTTCCAGTTTACTCAGAACATGTATTCTTTTTCTGCTGGTACATTTTCTCCTAAAATGTTGATATAGTTTTTCATCCCAAAACAGAAATTAAATGATCTCTACCTGCAATCATGACCGTATTGTCAAATTGGTTAAATGATACTAAGTTATTTCTTTTCACTGTATTTGTAAAAGGCCCACAGCAGATGTTAGACATTGTCCATACCACAGAAGAGAAACTGTTTCCAGCTAACGCACATGATATTTTCATAGTTCTTAAAATAACTGTCATATTGGAAGTCACCAGACATCTATCCATAAAAAGCAATTTTCTCATTTAAAAAAGATAAATCAGAAATAAATTTTCTATGTAGAAATTCCAATTATATTTAATCAGATAGTTTTCCATTGATAAACTTTCACGAATCCCCTTTCTGCCCCCAACACTGTGGCATAATACAACAATTAAAGATAAATGAAAGATACTCTTTGGTATGTAGATATGGTGCAATTCAAAGTAAAAGTATTGCAGAGGTACAAATAGGCTCTCATGATTCATATAATAGAAGTAAATTCATATAATAATGTGTTCATTGACATGTTTTAGGATATTAACGTAACATATTCAAAATTTAGTAATGTTTATTTTTCCTGAAATAACTTGTGAAATAAGTTTCTTTTGCTTTAATGAGCTTATAAAGACTCCCTGCACTTACCTATTAAATTAAGGAGAACTTTCTCAGTTAACCAGTCTATTTGTATATGTTACTTAATAAGCTCTCTCATCAATACTGCAATTAAGATTTGTTTGACTCATGCTTTCCCAGTTGCTTACAACTATTTCAGTAACGCGAAGAAAACAGAGTAACTATGTAACATTATGTAACATGTATTATCACTCAGTTCTGACACCAATAACAAAACTACACAAAAAAACTTGCTCAAATACTTCGGCTTCAGGGTTCTCTGGAATTCCTTTTCTTTAAAACATAAAAGATAAAGATTTTTAGGAAGATTCCCAGTTGAAAGTTTAAATATTTTTTCAATAAAAGGTGTACTCTCTATGACTGCATTAATGTCACTTTCAAAACTTAAATAATTGTGATCACAAAGTTGGGTTTTGTGTGTGTACAGGTAGCAGGTGCCCAAATATTAAGTTACAAGATAAATCAATGTTAAAATTTATTTTCTTCTTAGTTAAGCAGCACAGTAATTTTAGTGAATTTTCAGTCCTCTTTGTCTAAAAAAATATACTTAAGTACACCTTCTGTGTTCTTAACCCCCTCACAGGATATTGGCAGGAATGGGACAAGTGGAAGGAAGGAAGACTGTGATGAACACACATTGGAAATATCACTCTTTTATATTTATGTTTGCCTCTATAACATATAGATATAAAAGTCATCAACTTCCAAAACTTTCATTTCCAATTCAGTGGGAAATACCTATACCTACCATGACAATGAGAGCACCAAAAGCACAAGTGCTCAGCCTCCTGTATCAGAATATTGTTCTTCTGCAAGTCAGCATGACTATGTTTTTTCAAATGGATTTAAACCAAGATTTCAAGTACAAGGAATTACTATTTTGGATAGGACATAGGCAGTGACTATAAAGTAGTGGCAAGACAGCTGAAGTGTGCCCCAAAGCTAGCTGTGCTTCCATGGGGTTGGACAACCGACAGCCCCTGTGACTGCCCAGTGCTTTGGGATGCAGCAGGCAGCAACACCAGCTGGGCATTTTCACCAGCTCCTTGGCTTCTGTCTTCAACATGGAGCAGGCAAGCAACCCCAGGCATGCTAGGCTGAGGGCAACAACTGCATCTTGGAAGAATCACAGCTCAGCTGGGGAAAGTTTGGAGGAGGAGCTCACATGTACAAGAGAGCTTCTGCCTTCAAACCCAACAGTGATATAACATAGTTGGAAACAGTTATAACTTCACAAGAAGGCTTACAGATATCTAAAAGCATTTGGTTTTGGAAGCTTACAATCTGTCAATTGCAATATGCATTTTTTTTTCCATTATTAGGAAAGCCACAAATGCAATGGATGCAATTGTATGCTCTCTTAGCATACAATGGTCTTGTTCATTTGAAGGGGTGTCAAGCGCTGTTCTCATCTCGACGTACATGGGATGTAAAGCATGAGTTCGGTAACCTCTTGCACATGAGTTTCGAACAAGGATGAAAGTTGTTTGTTTGTTGCTTTCCTCCTCCCTCTGTCCCAGCTCCTTTCCCCGCCCCCTCTCCCGCGTCCCGGCCCCGCACACCCCGCCTTGCGCGTGTCCCCCCCCCCCCCCCAGTAAAAAACATCCCTATTGACCTTGCCTAAATATAATGCAAATCTAAACTTCCATTCTAGGGGCAGAGCAGCACCTCTTCACGGCGGGTAGCTTCCATCACAGCTTTAGGGGCGGCTGCAGAGCAGGGGCACATCCCGCAAGCGGTGCCGCCAGGTGCGCGGAGAGGTCCGCCTCCCTCCCGTCCCCCCACTCCACCTCGTTTTAAAGGGAAGGGTCAGAGAAGAGGGATGACATTTCACTCCTTACTTGACAAGGGGGGGGCTATCTGCGATCCGCGGCAGCACCGGCCGTCCCGAGGCTTGGGCAGCTCTGGCTCGGGTGGACAAACTGTCCGGAAAAGGGGAGACGGGGCTCCTGCCCAGGGGGCATTGACGGGCGCGATTCGAAAATAACCCCCGAGCCACCCACCGGCTCTGCTTGTACTGTAGGCGACCCGGAGGGGACCGGGAGGGGACGGGACGGGGGTGGTGGTGGGAGCAACAGCAAAGCTGCAACAGGGGCCGCTTTACAGAACCGAGCGGGTTCTTTTCTCCGTTTCCTGCTGCTCTTATGAAAGACAAATACTGTTTAGCAAGTTCTTGCCAGATGCCCCAAAGAGAACACCCTGTCTAAGAACGCACGGGAAAAAAGGGGTTTTGCTCGTTTCTATGCGCAAACGTCGAAGTTAAATTCCTTTTAAGAAAATTACACGCAAGCGTGATTTGTTAGCGCTGGTAGCGCACTCAGCTGCGGAAGCCGATATCCCACAAGAAGAAATCCTAGCTAAAAGTTGTTTCCAGCGCTTGCTCCCCATTCATTACAGCAAACCCGAGACCCAAGAAATCTGCAGGCGATGTCGCTGTCAACCCCGACCATGTTCCGCTGCTCGTAAACCCTGCACCTGCGTCCCCTTACCCCGGGAAGAACTACTTTTTGGCCCCTTTACTATGCCGTGGGGTGAGGCGAGCAAGCGGGCTGAAGAACTAGGCGATAAAAGGGAGTGTGGAAGATGGGGAGCGGAGGAGGTGCGCAACCCCCGCGGGTGCCCAGGGCTCGCGGGGGTTCTTGTCCCCGTGGCGGTTCTCGCCTGGTTCAAGAATAGGGTCGAGAGGAGCCCGGCCCCCGGACACGCGGAAACAACGCCTTCCCACGTGTCCCGCACCCCTGCGTATCCACTCAGGTGAGCGGCGTGCCCGCCCCTCTCCAGCCTCAGCCGCACCCTCAGGACAAGCACCCCGGCAGCTCTGCATGACTGGGGTTGTCCCGTCGATGGGGATGCTCTGTGGTCTCCTGCGGGATCCTCATCGGGTGGGACTGCGCGCCCTGGGGGAGGACCTGGCTGCCCTCCAATACAGGGCTGCTCAGGGAGCGCTGGCTCGAGGGGCCGCGGGTAAGGGGAGGGGGGGGGGGTGTCCCGGGGAGCGCAACCCTTCCCGCCCCGTTAGCAATCCCCCGCCCCCCAGGCGACAAGCCGGCTTGGGGAACAGGGTGAAGCCAGCGAAGAAGTCCCGAAAACAACTTTTGGGGAGGGAAAGGGGAGCCGGTCCCTGTGCTGGCAGCGACCCGGGAACGAGAGGCAGGCAGCTCCTGCGGTACCGGTCACCTGCCGAGGGCGAGCGCGCCCCGTGGGCAGCTGCGGGTGGGAGGGCTTCACGACACAGACACCACCAGCCTACTTGCCCCTTCCCTCCCACCCCGCCCGCCGCGGCCCAGGGCGACGCCGTGTTCTCTCGCACAGGTACGTCGGGGGCGTCCCCCCACCCTCCTGCCGCGGAGGGCACTTCGGTCTGGGCCCCGGACCCCCGCGAGTGCGGAGAATACGCCGAGAGCAGCCACGCCTTCGGGCAGGCGTGATCCGTCAACTTTCTCCCCCGGACCCTGTGCCCCAGCACGAAACCTCCCTCCCGGCCCCTTCCCCAGCATTCTTCCCAGAAAAGAGCCGCCCCCCCCCGGCCCGCTTACCTCGCATGGTGTTGGCTCCCCGCAGTCATGAAGCTGGGAGCCCAGGAACCGCACCACAAAAATCCCGTCTCAGCACCCGCGGAGGCGGCAGCCGCCGCAGCTCTGCTCCGCCGAGAAAACCATACCTCCGAGGCGGCTCCGCGGGGCGCGGCTCCGCGGGGTGCCCGCCGCCGGGCGCGCTTCCCTCCCCGGCGGCCGCCCGCCCGCCCGCCGCGGAGCCCCTGCGGGGGTCGCCTGGGGGCGGTTGGCTAGTGGCGGAGCAGGCGAGGGGGCAAGAAAGGAGTTACGTTAGAAAAAACTGGAAAAACGCGCGGAGGAAGAAGAGGAGGGAGGGAGGGAGGCAGGCTGCGTGGATGGCAGAGCATGTGCGCCTTCACATGACACCGGCGCCCCTCAGCAGCTCCCCGGTGCGGATTTCCACTGCGCGACCACAGGGACGCGCGGAGCGGGAGTGAGACCCGGGGAGAACGCGGCAACGCCGCTTATAGCGGGGGGCGGGCGGGGCCGCCGGCACGGCCCCGCCCGCTGTCAGCGCCGCCGCCAATCGCCGCCCGCCCGCCCGGCACCGCGGCCGCGGGCGGTACCGCGCCGCCGCCGCCACCCCGGCCGCGGCCGCGTCCGGCGCAGGGGGCGCGCGGCTCCGCGGGGCTGCGCGCCCGCGGCTCCCGGCAACTTCTGCTCCTCTGGGGAGCGCCGGGGTGCTGGCGGGTCCTGCCCGGCCGCCGGGGCTGGGCGTGGGGCGCGGGGACGGGAACGGGTCCGGGTCCGGGTCCTGCCTGCAGCGCTCCGGAGCTGGCGGAGAAAGGTAACGGGCGCGGAGAGCACGCACCCCCACCCCCTTCCCCCCTCCATCCCTCCCCCCCCCCCCCCCCCCGCTCCCCTGCGCCTCAGTGCTTTCTTTTGGGGGGCAGAGGGTGTCTCTGGGGAGGACGCTTAAAGCGCTCACCCCGCTGAGATTGTCACCGGGGAGCTGCGTTTTCCGACAGGAATGGGAAAGTTTGGTGGTGAGTCATCTTCTCATTAAAGAGAGAATCTGGACGTCGGAAGCAGTTTGTTTTCCTTGCATAAGGCTAAGCAGGCGGCTCTGCAGAAGCGGGTTTGTTCCGCGGGCAGCAGGATTTTTCCTGACTTGTAACTCTTCTTCTGAATTAACCGATGTGTTTTGCACATGAAAAAAAAAAAAACAAAAACAAAAACAAAAACAACAACAAAAAAAATCAACAACAAAAAAACCCAACCAAAACCAACAACAACAACAAAAAAACCAAACCAAACCAACCAACCAACCAACCAAAAAAAACCAAAACAACCCCCCAAAAACCTGACTGCGGGGTCTTTTCGATATTTGTTTTGTTTTGTTTGTTTTGTTTTGTTTTCTGTACGGAAAATCATGGAACACAACCACAAGCCATCTCAGTGGGTCCTCTTAGAAACAAGTCCCTGGTACTAAGGATCAGAGTTCCTAACTCCAAGCCTAAAACGAAAAAGAAAACCCCTGATTTAACTGAAGTATATCCACATAAAGGTATTCATATTGACCTCCTAAATCAAAATAGGATATATTTTGAAGAGAGCTACTTTGGGGTTAAATATGGAACTGACAAAGTAATTTATTATTTCCTACATTAATTATCAGCTGAAGTTGTGTTAGGTCTATTATGCAAGAGATCATAGGTATGATCTGTTTTGATCTGAAAAAGTTAAGAATCAACATAGGAAAGAGTCACAATGAAACTTCCACTCTTGGTGCAAACTGGCAAAGCTTTACTCCTGGGGAAGACGGTGGCAGGGTTACAGGAAACAGTTCTCATGGTTAGGCTCTTTCAAAACACCTGTTTGAAATGAAACTGAGAAAGACATGAAGAATCAGCTCTGCCAGTACTGAAAATGTTTAGATTTACCTGATTGTTGTGATCTTTATCTGCATTCACCATGGTGAAGACAGAGCCAGTTAAGAATAAAAAGTTCATACTGAATTCCTAAGACATTAGTAGGTTTTTGTATTCTTGACCATTATATTTATGCAATTTATATACTGCATGCAAAGTTGCTAACACTCATTTAGTGCATTTTCTTAGGATCCTATTCAGAAATTATTATCAATTGCTTATTTTTTTACTCCACTTATGTTAGCATATCTTCCAGTATCAGCTACATGCTATCTTTTCACTTCGGAAGACCAGGAATTTGCAGTGGCATGTTTTCTTTATAATTGAGATTTCAGCAGATGTGGTTGGCACCAAACAGCAGGCTCTATGCCTCTCTCTTGTGGATTTTCCCATCAGCCATCTCTTCAACATGTTCATCAGCTCAAAAGTTTCTGAGGTAATTGCAATAAAACAACTATTACATACCACTTTGCAAAACAAGTTAGAAAGCACAGGGTCTTTATATCATTTTTCTAATGTGTATAATTTGACTGTTATCTAATTTGGAACTTGGGTGAAGGAATAATTAGCTCCTCACTAGTGCTTGTGGCTTTAGAAAAGCAACTGGGAGAAAGAGCAGAGATTCCATCTACTTGGTACTTGGTGTACTGCAGCCAAGGCACGTGTTGTTTTTTTTTTTGTTTTTTTGTTTTGTTTTTTTTTTTTTTTTTTGTGTGTGTGTGTGTTTTTTTGTTTGTTGTTGTTTTTGTTTGTGTTTTTTTTTTGTTGTTTTTTTTTTGTTTGTTTTGTTTTGTTTTTTTCACCTGGATGTCTACCTACCAGCAGGAACAAAAATTAAGTGAATTTGAAGAGGAGACAATGACTCTTTTCTTTCATATTCGGAGTCTTGTTATTGATTATGCCAACAAGATTTTAGATTTAAGTGTTGTAAAACTGCATCTTAACACTAGTAAGAGCTTTGAAAAGTAAGTAACTAGCTGTCTACTTGCTAAGCAGTGCATTCCAACTACCTTACACTACTGCACTAAGTACTGGTGCACCTTTATTTGGAATTTATATGGTGCTTTTGACAATGGAGAAGAAACTGAAATGCTGCCATTCTGTCTTAATTTGATTTTGATTTTGTTTTCAAATTTATTTATTTATTTATTTAGTTTAGTTTACAAAACCCAAGTAATTGGGGCCATGGATTTCATTGGCTTTTCTCTCTACTGTATAGAGTAGCAATTTTTACGTATCTATTTTCAGGAGTCCTTGTGGACTTTTAATTTATTAATCTGTCTTAGTCCTATATAATCTATGTATAGTGATGTCTGAGCTAACTTCTTCACCAGTTGGAGCAAGTTGTTAAATTTTCAATTTATTCTAGTACTTAGGATGAGATATTGTCTGCTAAGCACCAGTAATGGTGGCAATAAAATGATACATATAGTAAACATAAGTAGACTTCAGTAAGCACCAGGCAAATTATAAACACTTTATTCCAAAATGTATGGCTGCCTCAAACTGTTATATGTTGAAGCAGGTAAACAACACACAGGAAAGCCACATGATCTGAGGTCATACAGGAATTTATAGTATATTTAAAAACTGAACACATACCTTTAGTAGTTAAATAAATTGAGTGGTACAATTCAGCCCACCATTCTTGTATGATGGTAGTTTTCCTAGTCTTCAGTGACCCTTTAATGGGATTTCTCATTTCAGATGAGTGCTTCAGAGGAAAATTTTAGGAAAGAAACAGGCAAAAAGAGTTAAAATACAGCTGTTTTACTTGAAAATGTAAACAAATATTTTATATTAAAAAAAATTCGTTGTTAATGTATTTTCACTAAAAACTTAACAATGAGAAATTACCTTTCATAATGCTCACTTGCATTAGCACCTTTCCCAAGGCTTTTTGGATGACAAATCTTCTAAGACAGTATTTAAGGCCACATACTGTTGTCATTTTCATCATTTGCAATATATTCATTAGAGCTGTAACAAGTTATGCCTAATTTAATTGCTTCATTAAAAATTACTGAATAGAAAATAGTCAAAACAAACTGCGTCTACAGGCCCCATTTCACTCCCCTGGATATCAATGGCTAATTTCTGTTGGCATGAAAGGAAGCCAGATGCATCCCACAGCCAAAATTTATTTCTTAGACCCAATAGGAGCAAGATTGGTCACAGTTTTCTTCATCTCCTCTGTCTCCAGCACATATGGTCTCATTGCTAGACATTCCTAACTTTATGTAAGTCATGAGAAAGACTCTCTAATTTTTCATTTTATGTCTTCTGCAGAGAATTATTGACAGATTCAGGAATCTGAACTTTTCCCATAGATTCTTCACTTTAGATTCACTTTCTAAATTCTTTCCCATTTCTTTATGCCAGCAATCTGAAAGCATGCACATACACTACACTGTGTTTATCTCCTGTAAAGCCTGGTAACCTTCATGAAATTTCAGACTGTTTCCACAGGGCATTATTTATTTCAAGAACTGTGTATTTTTTTTTTTTTTCTCCAAACTAGTAAAATTGTTTTAAAAGCAGCCCTAGAAAATCCTGACACAATCAGAAATTATATTCAGTAATTGAAAATCTTTAATTATGCCAATTTAGTTTTGGAAGCTAAGAATGTAATGCATTATGCATGACAGGATAACCAGAAACTTGAAAAAATCAAAATGAAAAACCATACTTGATTATTTCTTCTGTCTTGTGAGATGAAAAGCAATCCCTAGCCACAAAGAAGGAATCTCAACTCCTGTAAATACCTCATGACATTTAAAATCTGCTGTTTTCTATAATACTTCAAATTTATTATAAAATGTACATAGTGGATATATATATATATATATTTTTTTTTACAAATGCATTGGTTTTTTAAGTGTTACCAAAACTGTATAGTGACTTACCCCTGATTTCATTAACAGTGTCAATCACTGGATCTTTGTCTAAAATGTCTCTTTTACATGTGTCTTTGAACAAGAATGGATACTAGGTAGGAACCCTCATGCACACGCGCACACACACACGCATGCACACACTCACACACAGACACACCCATCCCTCAATATTTATCTAAAATGGTCAGCAACTGGAAAGACTGGCTGTAAAGATGTAGTTGCTGGTCAGAGCTGCATTAACCCTAGAACACCACAAACCTTAAAATGATAGTTTGGGTCACAAAACTCAGACAGAGAAAAAGCTAAGTTCGACAGTAGTACCTCTGCTGTAATAACCTGATGTTTGCTCTGAAGAAACTGCAGCATATTCGAATGTTGATGTAGTGAGGAGGCAGCAGTGAAAGACCGTCCTGGGGGAAAAAGCTGCCCAGGGGCAACGACCTGCCGACATTGGCACCCACACTCTGCTTCCTTGGCTGGGCTGGGAGCTGCTAAGTTGTTTCGAGGTGACCCAAGAGCAAGAATGGGCTTCAGCGAAGGAGACAGGAAGATGAGACTTGGAAGGAACATGTGGGCAAAATAAAACGCTCCAGGAAAGAAGCAGGAGGCAGAAGACTGACCTAGAGGTCAGTGCTCCAAAATGTAGCAGCCTCTGAGGCAGTAGGTGCTGTAGGTTGGGAACAAGATTTGAATGTGTATTGCTTTCATGCAGTAGTTTAAAAAGCGAGGATCTATTATAACCAGAGTTTTTCCACTTTAAATGGATGCTGACCTTCCAGCTAAACACTGGTTTTGCCTCATGGAAGCAGCCTGATGTTTTAAATTTTTATTGTTGTTTCACTGGAAAAAAGCAAAATTCAGAATACAGATATTTTGTTTAACAGGAAATGAATTAATTTTCTGGTGAAATCCCAGTTTTCCTATTCGTATTTGTGCACTAAAGTCTTACATTTGTAAATTAAAGTAGGTAAAAAAGTTTACTTTAAAATATTAATTTATTTTATTTATTATATGCAAAA